GTACATACATACATACATACATACATACATGCATATAAACAAGAATGTAAATTCACTAATGTAAATAAACAAAGGTTTGCATGTGTTGATGAAAAGTCAAGATGCCCAAATATTTTATATAACAATCTTTTACATTAATCCAAATTTTCCCAGCACTCATTAAGACAATAAAATAATGTTTTGTGACGTAACAATGTTTCAATTGTTCAAAAATATTTTAAATCGAGTTTCCTTATCGTTGACTTACATATTAGGAAAAATTTTGTATTTCTTTTAGAAATAACGAAATAAACTCAATTATTGGTGGTGGACTCAGACTTTTTGACCTAATTATAGGTCATTAATAAAACGATTCAGGCCATAAAAATAATTTTAGACGCACAAATGTAAAAAGTTTGCAAATGCGAACCCAAATGCATCTATTATCTAGTGAAATAATTTGCTAACGTAGTTTTCATTCTATGATTGTGTATTTTCATGACATCTAATTTTTGTTTCAATATGATCATCATGCGCTTCTTTTTCACCTCAAATATATAATTTAGTATTATTCTCTTTGTCTATTTCTACTAAGGAGATGCTATATATTACTTTTAATATACTTTACTTTACATTTAAAACTTGATGGAATGACAAACATCAACGCTTACATAAAGTGCAACAGTCCAACAATAAATGGTGCATCTGCTTGGCTATCCTATCGTCTTAAACACTAATAGCCGATATAAAGAGTAACTGTGTTTTCCCAACACTACTAACTGAATTTTGGCTTAACATGGGGTAAAAGATCGCTTTATTCTTTTTTACACTAGACTGATCAGACACTAGACAGCTAGTAACACGCACTTCCAATAGTCAACTTTTGTCAGACCGTGACTTTGAGGGCCAGCATGGAGTGCATCACGGTCTTCCTAAGGGCTGGCTGGCCTGGCTGTCTTCATATACATGACGGAAAGCTGGATTTTAAAGACTTCGTTTATAATTTAGATGGATCGTAAATTTGCCTAACATAAGACCAGAGGAGGATACTGTCTCGAAGGTGTGGCTGCTGCATTCTACACACCATATCCTCACCTCGATGGATACTTGCTCAACTTCCTCTGTCCTGACGAAAACAACACCCTCAGAGCATGAGGGCAAATTTAGCGAAATCCACAAAAATCGAAGCCAAAAGAAAGATTTTGCGTATTTTGATATAGAATCGGATAATTTATGAAGACTGTCATGATCTGACCACTTTGTAAAGGGTACAAGGGACCGAATTAGGGATAGATAGGTAAGACAGATGCGGTTTCGCGTAGAAAGACAGGCCGATGCAGCGAAGAATGGGGATGGGTCATTATAAGACTAATTATTCCCATGTTTCCTTTATTAGAGTTTCTAGGGCAGCGAAGAACTAAGTAGGGAGGGTTAAAGTAGTCCTAACCAACATAGTTGATAGATATTATTTCGGCGAAAATTGGTGAAAAAAATAAACTACCAATCCCATCAACACCTTAAACCAAATAGGGGGGATACATGAAACCAAGATATTGTGGCCTCTGTTATGGTCGAAGTTTCCTTTCGATTTATAGAAGTGGGTTGACCTCATCGCAACTTGGTCTTGTTGTCAGAGTGACTTAGTAGAATGCACCTAGTCCGAAGTCGTCTGCCATAATAGTTGTCATGATTCCCAGCATCAGACAGTAGACTTGGTACATTCTCAAACGTTTCGCCAGCATCGTAGTCGGCATCATCAGTGAGTGTTGCCATTCTCCCCACCAAATTAAGAACTCATCAGAGACAAATGAAGTCACTTCCTCGACAAACGTTCTGTCGAAAACGGTTACACCAGTGATTCCCAAACTGTGCGCCGCTGCGCCAAGGGGAGCCGCGGTCTCTTTACAGGGGCGCCGCGAAATATTGTATAAGTTTCAATTTGAGAAAATGTGCAGGCTCATTCATTACATTAATTATTAAATAGTAATTAAATGTTAATGAAGTAAAAAAATAATGAAGATACACCGGTTTTGTTTATTTTTATCTCATACTTGCAGATAGTCATACTTAGGATAGGGCGCCATTGAAAAATTGTAATTGAAAAAGGGCGCCGCGACTAGGAAAAGTTTGGGAACCACTGGATTACACTAGCACTCATCTTTCTGTCCTGGCCTATCGATCTACTCTTTACCCTCTTCTCCCACTGCCACCCTACCGCAACTTCTCACTTGTTTACATTCCACTCGTTAAAATGTGCCCTTTTGTGGCAAATCTAATGTGGCATCATCGCACTTGTCGTTCACCACGACCCCGTATCTTTTGATCAGCTGATCCGACTCGGGCCTCCAATCTGGATCCCCTCATTGTCTCGTAGATCCGTTGCTTCTCTTTCTGGTTGACGAACTTCACTCGGTTCCAGTCCCTGTGTGCATTTTACTCCAGGCGCTGGATCATTCGAAGTGGACATCACTTACTGACAACATCATCGCTATATTGTCGAAAACCCCTGCCTCCCCTTTCTTCATCGCGATCCCTTTTTCTCAGGTTAGCGATGGATCCTTGATCCAGGCGTCTCCCTTTTGCTGATCTTGCTCTATTCTTGTTTCCCCAAAGTTTGCTTAAGCAGTAGGCATCTCCTGTTCATAATATTTGTCTCCCCAAGGAAGTCAATGGCCTCCCTAATCTCCCGCTTCCTTGTGTTGTCTCCGTATGGGGCTCTTCTTTCTGTTGCCTTCCAATTGATCTTGTTCCTAGTCTGCGATGTATTCCGCTAGTTGTGATCTTTCGGTATCCATTTTCCTGCACAACCTCTAATGTTCATTGACTTGTGTGTTAATTTTTCTTCCTGTTTCGCAGGCGCCGCATGCTAAACAGTAAACTCCTGAACAATCCAATTTGTCTACCCTTTCATGTTGCGATGGTAGACTTATGAAAAGTGTTGGTTTCTCTTTCATAACCACCCAAATATTCCATTTACTAAATATTGACCGTAGTTATTAGTTAGTTCGCAGGAAAGTAGGCATATCCACTTTTGTAAATCCTTCATCGTCCGTACAGTCCTTTCATAGTTCCCATTCTGTCATAGGCTTTTCACGGCCCGTATGTTTCTTTTTATCACTTCAATTGGGTAACCATTGCAGAGAAATAACCTCGTCAATTTGTCCAGCTCCTCGTCCCAGAAATCTGCATCCGTCAGGCGTAGGCTTCTGATGATCATGCTCCCCATTATTTCAATCTGTAGCCTGTTATTGTTATAGGACCGGAAATTGAGTATTATCCCAGGATAAGACTTCTTTCTGAACAATTTCTTTTTGAGTGTCCCATTAGAGCGAATCCCTTCAGCATCCAGGAACGTTAACCGCTCACCTTCCTCTGCTTCCAACGTGAATTGAATTTTTGCATCAATCTGGTTTACAACCATCGTAAACTCTTCTAGTTTTTCTCTTCAACGTGACCAAAGTGCGAAGTAATCCTCCATGTACCGCATGAGCACTGCCGGTTGTAACGGTGCCATCTTAAAGCTCTTTTCTATTTTGTTCATGTATACGTTTTCCCAAAGTGGTGAGAGTAGCGATCCCATGGGAAGTCTAAATATTTATTCATAGATGCTTCCATTTAATGGAAAATAGGTTGTCCTTATTGTCAAGTTGATTAGTCTTGTTAACGATTTCCTACCGATCCGTTATGCTTCCAGGACATCCTCCTCTCGGTCGAGCATTTCTAGCAGATCAGTTAGCGCATTTTCTCCAGAGATATTTGTATACATAGATTTCACATCTAAACTTAACATATGAGCCGTGAAAAGCCAAGGGCAGAATTGGGACTATGAAAGAGCAGTAAGGACGATGAAAGATTAACTAAAGTGGATATGCCTACCTTCCTGCAAACTAACTCATAAACCAGGGCCAATATTGAGTAAATGAAATATTCACGTGGCCATGAAAGAGAAATCAACACTTTTCACAAGTCTACCAACGCAACATAAAAAGGGTAGACAAATTAGATTGTTCAAGAGTTTACTGTTTAGCATGCGGCGCCTGTAAACAGAAATATATTGGCGAAACAAGGAGAAAAATTAGCACACGAATTAATGAACATCAGAGGCTTGGCAGGAAAATGGATACCGAAAGATTAGAACTAGCGGAAGACATCGCACAGACTGGACACGAGATCAATTGGAAGGCAACAGGAAGGAAAGCTCCATACGGTGACAACACAAAGAAGCGGAAGATTATGAAGGCCATTGACATCCTTCGGGAGAAAAATCTAATGCACAGGAGATTGGAGAAAGGTAGAGTTAGCGATAACTTTGCCTACTGCCTAAGCAAACATTGGGAAAACAAAAAAAGAGCAAGATCAGCAAAAAGAGACGCTTGGATCAAGGATATACCGCCAACCGGAGGAAAAAGGATCGCTATGAAGAAGGTTGGGGGCAAGGGTTTTCGGTAGTCAAGCGAAGACGTTGTCAGTGAGTGATGTCCATTTCGAATAAACCCGTACAAGTTTGGGGCACTGACAGTCAGGAAGCTGGGAAGACGGATGAGCAAACCATCAAGGAAATTCGGCGTTACGCCCAAAATGCACTCGAGAGACCGCATGCGACCAGAGATAGGCGTCCACAGATAACATGGGTTTAATCAAGAAGAGGACC